CAGGCAAAACTCAACAGTCACATTTAAGGATAACAAATAGGTGGTAAACTATATAAGGGAATGAGTACTGCGTAATTCACGACACTGGTTATCTCAGGGGAGAGGAAGAGAGTGGGAGATACAATGGGAACTTCTAGGGCTGGAGATATTCTGTCTTAAGTCAGGGGATGAGTACACAGTTGACTGATTTATTTTTATTTTTAAAAATGTACATACAATTTTGTAAGTATATTGGAGTTTATAGTTTAAAAAAAAAAAAAAAAAAGATTGAGAGGGGCCTGGAGTCCTCAAGGAAGAATGGGAAACAGTAGTCTTGAGGGAAAATGTAAAGAAGCAAGAACTCACTGCCCAGGACTCCTGACAGTCTGGCGCCGACAACCAGAACAGAAAGCAGACGGTTCTCCGTGGAAAGCACTTGCACGTGAAGCAATGTGTCTTGTGGACTACTGCCCCTCCACTATAGCCTAACGCTGCAGTGCTCTCTGGGACAAACCAGTGACCTCTAACCAGGCACACTGGCTGGTGCCCCCAGGTACCTCAGATGAGGTAAGTGAAATGCTTGAGGGCTGCTATTCTGGACCACCTGTCCTTTGGCCTGAATGCTGTTTTAGCCCCTGAAGGGTCTTTAAGAATGACAACCAAGAAGGAATAAGCTGGGGCTGCTTCAGTGGAGCAGCCCAGCTCTTCCTCGCCCCACCCCCATGCCCTAAAATGATGTAGGATGTTTTTTCCCCCTTTAGCAGCCTTGCAGAGTGAAACAATTGATATGATCACACAATCAAATGTTACTGTCCTGACTACTTCACTGACTAGCTCTCTCATTTAAGATGGATTCTTCATTTTTGAGAAGTCAATACTCAGCTTGCCTTTCACCAAAGACAGTCTTCTCATTGTGTGCCATCCACACAATCGTTGCTATGTTTGAGCCCATTGTTGCAGCCACTGTGTGAATCCATTTCGTTGAGGGTCTTCCTCTTTTATGCTGACACTCTACTTTACCAAGCATGATATCCTTCTCCCATGGACTGGTCCCTTCTGATAACATGTCTAAAGTATGTGAGATGAAGTCTCACCATCCTCGCTTCCAAGGAGCATTCTGGCTGTACTTCTTACAAGACAAATCTGTTTGTTCTTCTGGCAGTCCATGGTGTATTCAATATTCTTCGCCAACACCATAATTCAAAGGCATCAATTCTTCTTCGGTCTTTCTTACTCAGCTTTCACATGCATATGAGGCGATTGAAAATATCATGGCTTGGGTCAGGCACACCTTAGTCCTCAAAGTGACATCTTTGTTTTTTAATGCTTTAAAGAGGTCTTTTGCAGCAGATTTGCCCAACATACTACATCGTTTGATTTCTTGACTGCTGCTTCCATGGGCATTGATTGTGGATCCAAGTAAAATGAAATCCTGACAACTTTTCTCTGTTTATCATGATGTTGCTTATTGGTCCAGTTGTGAGTATTCTCAAACGTTGTTGTTGCTAGGTACTGCTGAGTTGGTTCTGACTCATAGTTACCCTATGTACAACAGAATGAAACACTGCCTGGTCCCATGCCATCCTCACAATCGTTGTTATGTTTGAGCCCATTGTTGCAGCCACTGTGTCAACTGATCTCATTGAGGGTCTTTCTCTCTTTCACTGACCCTCTGTTTTACCAAGCATTATTTCTTTTCCAGGGCCTGGTCCCTCCTGCTAACATCTCCAAAGTCATGTCAAACATTACTTGGCCTAAAAAAATGTTTCTCAGACTTGATGTGATTGTTAAGGTTATGTGTCAACTTGGATAGACCATGATTCTCAGTGGTTTGGCAAATATTATGTAATCATCCTCCATTTTGTGATATGATGTGAATAGCCAATCATTTGAAATGGGAGTTTCATTGGCGGTATAGCCTGCATCCAATATATATGGATGTTCTGGAAAAGCTAGTTACCTTTCAATCCTGCATCTGACTCATCATCCTCTGACCTCTGGTTCTTGGGACATGAGTCAGCAGCCTGCCTTCCGATCTGCCAATTTTGGGTTCGTCAGTCTCTGCAACCATGTGAATCAAGAGGAGCCTCCAGCTTGATGAGTGACCATGGATTTTGGACTTGCCAACCTCCACAACTGCAAGAGCCATTTCGTTGAAATAAATCTCTCTTTATATATATTTACATATATATGCTTCACTGGTTTTACTCCTCTAGAGAACCCAGCCTAAGACACTTTACATGCAGACAGTCACTTGGTGGACTTGTTAAAACACAAATTGTTGAGCTCTGCCTCCAGAATTTCTGATTCACCAGCTCTGGGGTCGGGCCAGAGAATTGCCTTTTTAGCAAGCTCACAGGAATGCTGATGCTGCTGGTCTGGGATGACACTATGAGAACCTCTGACGTAAAATGTCTTTTTTCATCAGAAGGTGTTTCTGTTTCTGAAGATCCCTTCTACTAATTCTCTAACAGAACACTACACAAAGACTCCCTCCTCTGAGGAACACATTTGCTGCCTCAGCATCCTCTGCAGAGCTGCCTTCACCTCCTGGTTCTTGAGGCTGTAGATGATGGGGTTCAGCAAGGATGTGATCACACTGTACTGAATGGAGACCACTGGCTCCAACAGTGAGCCTGTGGGAGGGCAAATGTACCTGAATAGAGCTGTCCCGTAGAACAAGAGCGCCACGGTGAGGTGGGAGGGGCAGGTGGAGAAGGCTTTGCCTTGGCCCCCAGAGGAGCGGATGCTTAGGATGGCAGAGATGATTCTGGAGTAAGAGAAGAGGATCAGGGAAAGTGTCAGCAGCCCCAGAAATGCACTTGACCCAGACAGAAGCAACTTGTTGGCAGTGGGATCAGTGCAGGACAGTGGGAATAGTGAAGGCAGCTCACAGCTGAAGTGGGAGATGATGTTGGACCCACAGAAATGTAACTTGTGGATGAAAACATTATTTACTAGTGAGCTCAGAAACCCCATCACCCATGCTGCACTGACCATTGCGGTGCAGAGAGGCCTGTTCATGACCACACTGTAGAGCAGAGGGTGACAGATGGCGGCATAGCGGTCATAGGCCATGGCAGAGAGCAGACAGGCTTCGGTTCCCCCAGAGAGAGTGAAAAAGAAACTCTGGGTGATGCAGCCCCACACTGAGATGCTTTTCTTCAGAGACAAGAAGTGCTGTAGCATTTTGGGCATAGTGACTGAGGAGAAGTAGATGTCCAGGAAGGACAGATGTTGGAGGAAGAAGTACATGGGAGCGTGGAGGTGAGAATCAGCTCCAATCACCAGGATCGTCACCAGGTTCCCCACCAAGGTCAGGAGGTAAATCAACAGGAAGAGCACGAAGAGCAGAGCCTGAATGTGGGGGTCAGCAGACAGCCCGAGAAGGATGAACTCAGTGAAGACAGTGAAATTGTTCATAGTTGTTTATAAATTCTATCCCTAGAAAGATATCAATCCCACCACACGTAATGGGTCAGTAATCTGAGTAATTTCTCATGATCAGAATATCATCCCCACATCCCAAAACTTCCCAAGCAATACTACTCTCAGCTTAAAAATAGAAAAGGAAAACTAAGGTTGAGTAATTGCATTTGTGACTTTCAGGGTTTCTGCCCCTTGGCCCTTCTCAATAGTTGTCACTAATTCTGTCAATGAATATATGAACATCTTTGGAACCTAAATCAGATTATGTGCTTTGATCATTAAGAGTATATTTGTGAGAACAAGAGGACAGGATGCTTCAAATGAGATTATTTTGGGAAAGAGAGACATTTAATTGCAAGTCTTTTTGTATTTATGTTATGGTCTTAAAGTCAAGAACTACAGAACTCATCATCTTATCTGAGACATTGTGAATTTTGGATGAAAAAGTGGAAAAGAGGCTTGAAATATGCTGCTGGAGGTTGGAAGGGGCTTTCTAAACATTCTAGGATTCCTTCAGGTGTACCTTAATCTCCTCCAACCTCGTACTAGCAAAGCTAGAAAAGTATTTGTGGGAATGGGTGGGAGTCCCTCAGGAAAGCTTGCTCCATGGGCAATGAGATCATGTATTCACAGCACCTCAGAGTGGGGAAATGGTGACCCAAAGAGATGAAATGACTCACTGTGCATCGCACAGCTGATCAGTGGAATAGCCAAGAATTAAACTGAATACTTTGCTCCCAGTCCAGTGCTCTTTCCACCACAGCACTCCCAACATGTAGACAACACTATGAGAAACTGTTCTGAGGAGAGAGAGGAGTTTTGATACACTGTTAGTAGTGGTATCTTAAACATTGCATTGTGCTTAAAATACAAAAATTGGGTCTGAGAATTGAAAGTTATGTGAGCTTTGAGCAAGTCAATTAACCTTTCCAAAGGTCAATTTTCACATCCATAAAATGGGGAACAGTTATAGCTATCTCACATGATTGACATGAACTTCACAATTCTTTTTAATGGTTGGAAACAAATTTCCGGAGCAAACTCTGACACTAACCTGCTTAGTTTGGAGACCTTGATCAAATCACTTTAATCCTACTCTACCATAGTTTTAGCTCATGACCTGATGATTAAGTGTTCAGTCAGTATTTTATTTCCTTTCTTCTAGTTTATTCTTGCCTTTACTGTCTAAAAAAGTTCTAAGGCATGACTTTTAACGGGATCCACATTTTTCACTGGGAACCTGAACTGGATTATTACAGCTACCTTCCCTGCTGTCTTCTCAGAACTAGTCTCCACATCCATTGCTTCGCCTCCTCTTCAGTCCATTTTACCCTTGCTATTGTATAAAGCCTGATACTGGTCACATGAATAGAAAAGCCATTCAAGAGGAAATTCAAGAGAAAAATAAGTATTTGGGAAAATATTCAGCTTAACCAGTTAAAAAAAGTGAACAGAAACTCAATGCTTCTTAAACAATGACTGCTATTTTCCCCCATTAGTGATGGTTACACAACATGATTAATGTAATTGATGTCACCAAATAGTACACATTAAAAATGTTAACTTGGCAAAGGTTGTGTTATATACATATATATTACAAGAATAAAAAAAGTAAGATAAAATAGGAACAAGGATCCAATTTTGTGATTATTTAATTTCCAAAAATGTTTACAATAATAACACCAAGAAGATGCTGGAGGGAGTCTATACACTGCTGATGACATTGAAAGCTACAGACTTTGACTAAGCAAACCTCTAAGTCCTTGTGTTTATACTAAGAATATAACTCAAAAGAACTAAAACATGACCTGCAGAATGATCCACACTGTAGTGTTATATATTCAATAAAAAATGGAAACAATTTAAATGTCTCCATATCCTGGAATGCATAACTGAACACCAACTAAACAGAATGATATGAAGTCAATAAAGTGATAATCATAAGCCTACGTAGCAACATGGAAACATACCGATATTAGCTGCAAAAACAAAATATTCAATTTTTGCTTGGTATGATTAGAACTGGTCTTCAAGACTCTTTTTCGTGTGGTCTCCCTCAAACCTCCAACTTCCCTTTATCTTAAAGTTACCCCCATCGACTCTTTGGCTTTAAATGCACCCAGTTAAAAAATCGACTTCCTCTCCCTTCTCCTTTGATGATGCACCCAAACAAAGTATTTGCCCCTAAGAAATTAGCTTAGTTTTAAGAGCAGTGGTTTCTTAAATAAGGAGATAAGAGAGCTCAACCAATGATGGGAGGTTTCCCAGATTTGAGTCACCTTCCTGGCTATCTGGGGTCACGCCTCCCTGGGAGGTTCCGATAGCTTGGTGGGAGGGAGGAGTTAACAGACCAGTGCTGTTGGGAGAAATTCCACAGACAGGAACAATGGAGAAATGGTTCTGAAAAGAGAGAGGAGTTTTGTTGGAAAGAAACTGACTAAAAGAGGGAGTAGAAAAAGAGTAAAAAGGTGCGGCTATTCCCTTCCAGCGCTAAACACATGAAGATTTCCCAGTAGCCTCTGGGAATTGGCTTTTCAGATAAAAAACCAAAACTCCTTTCCAATTCCCAGTCCTGATAATCACAGCAAAGGAATTATTGGGGACCTCTTCACCTCCGACACTTCCTAAGAGGCTACACTGCCTCTTTGGAGGTTTATTTCTTATTTGCAGGCAGGGGTAAAACTACAAGATCTCTTGCTATCCCTGAAGCCATAAGATCCTAGAACTCTCTTAATAAAACTCAGGCAAGAGGGAATCAGAAGGACTCTTTGGATTTCCTGCCACATCCCACATTCAAGGGCATGATCCTCCAGTTCTTCATCTGGATGACCTCCCTGCAGCTCCTCCATGCCAAAAGAGGTCCTGCTTTTTTGTCAAGGACCAGGGACATGAAAGGAGGGACAGAGAGACCTCAGATGGACAGAAGTGCACATGCTCAACATCTTATTTGATTCTACTCCCAGAAAACCACAACAACAAACTTGGTCTACTTGCTCACTTTGGGGAAGATACTTCCCTTGTGCTTGATTTCAATTTCTTCTCGGTACCATGAATAGTTTGGGTCAGAATAGGATTCCTCTAAATTTTACAAACCGTTGAATATCTGACCCCTTCTTACTCCTATTGCTGAGTCGACTCTTCTGAATTTGGCTCCTCCTTGGGGTTCTGAGCCAGGTTGCTTATTGCCTCCATAGTTGGCAAATGGAGTCAGAGAGGGCACCAGCTAGGCCTTGGGCAAAGTCTGTTTTATTTCCTGACAGTTTCTAGGATCAGAGTCTGTGTGGGAAGTCCTGACTAAAGCTTAACGGTCTGGCATTTTTTGCATTGGGCCTCTCCTGGCCGTGCTAGAAAGCATTAGTTCTTGTCATTTTTCCCGTGGTGACCTACCTCAGTCCTGAGAAGCTCCTGACTAGTTTGTAGGAGTCTTATATTTCTCCACTCCTATTCTCTTCAACCATCTCTTTGTCAAGGTAGCCCTGGGAGAGGAGCACAGGTAAGAACCCCAGGGAGCCTGGGAATAGTTACTGCTCATGGAGGAGGCTGCAGTAGTCAGACTCACTTGGGATCTGGTTCTGACATTGAAAGGCTGGCTGTGATCTCCAGGGAAGGGGATAGGGTGGGATGCAGAACATTTTCTAGGAAGAATACAAGGAACAAGGTAGAATCTGACAAAGCTCAGTCTAAAGCTTCTTGAACTCAGCCATATAAATTCATGTACAGAGGCACGTGCATGGACACACACACACACGCACACACACACACACACACACACACACACGCTCATAAAAAGTCTAACATTCCTTTTCTTCTTGTGGATTTACTTCAAATTGTATTATCTTTAGGTGTGCTATATTTTCCCATATACTCTCATCACATGGCCA